GTGGAATCAGGCTCTCGTCTATATGTGAGGCAGCGTGGTGGAATCAGACTCTCGTCTATATGTGAGGCAGCGTGGTGGAATCAGGCTCTCGTCTATATGTGAGGCAGCGTGGTGGAATCAGACTCTCGTCTATATGTGAGGCAGCGTGGTGGAATCAGGCTCTCGTCTATATGTGAGGCAGCGTGGTGGAATCAGGCTCTCGTCAAAATAATCAAAGTGAAGAAACTTGCATTTTTCCACAGGTTTGTGAATTTGTATCAAAATTGTGTTTTTTGACTCAATACCTTTCATGTCCATTAAAGAACTCATCTCTGAGTGGATTTTTCTGAAAAACGTTGATTAAAGGCACAAAAAAAGTAAATTTTCTGTTACCACGGACTCTTAAGCAAAGGAAATAACTAATCTTTGGCGGCCATTTTCTCACTAATTTTACCTCTGAAAACAGGTGACCCCCACATCCTTCATTCACAAATATCTTGACTTATATTAAAGATAAATGGATATTTTTTTCAACTAAATAAAGACAAGTGAACAAACTTGAAGATGATACCAATAACTCTACATGCCCAAAAATTGACGAGAGCCTGATTCCACCACGCTGCCTCACATTTTGATTGAAATAAATAACAAATATGATAGGTACTAAGAAACAACAATAGTGTCCTCCACTAATCCATGTATAAAAAAAGCAATCGAAAATATTTGAAAGCAGAACGAGGAAGAATCATCACTCACCAACTAGCACAGACACAAAAGAATCGAGCGAATTGAGGAACTCGCTGCGAATTCCGTCTCCCTCCTGATTGGACAACTGCTCCCAGCCATTTTCCAACTTCTTCAGGGCAGGAATAAACACGTTAGACAGCACGTTCTCCACCGCGTGAAGCAGGCCCCGGCCGTTGGCGCCTTGACCGTTGCAGTCCAGCATAGTGAAGTTAATCTCCTGTCAGGGATATTGAGCACACTGAGTCAAGGGTGTTTAGTTTTTAGTTTTAGTAAGAGTTAAACGGTCCTTGCAACACAATAAGGTCATATAGGTGCCGAAGATTAGAGGTGTAATAAGAGAGTAAGAAACACAACAAAAAAGATGAAGGAGAGATAAGGACGATAGATGTTTCATAGGAAAGAAAGAGCAAACCACACCAGAGCACCCACCAACCACCTACATCAAGGGTGTAAGACCTTATTTATTTTAGTAAGAGTAACACAAAATGGTCATATAAGTGCCGAAGATTAGACTTGTAACAAGAGAATAACAAACACAAAAAGAAGGAAGAGAGATAAGGACAACTGGAGTTGGATGGGAAAGAAGGGGCAAACCACACCAGAGCACCCGCCAACCAACCACTGAGTCAAAGAAAGAGATGCGCTTCGATACTATGACAGTATGACAAGGGCAAGAAGAACAGGGGGGGGGGATTAGTACAGAGAGACAGACACAGTGGAAGGATTTCACAGAAACATGACCTATTAATGGCACCCTCTGGCAAAGTTCTCTGGCTAAAAGTCTTGTGAAAAACAACCAAAAGAAGAAAAGAGACGGAGGAAGACAACCTCTTCACTGCTGCGTGGATGTATGCACTGGTTTGTGTTATTCCAGCTTATGTTCTCTGCCATTTTCATACAACTTCATATAAGGAAAATGTTTGGAGATATTATAGCAACAACGAGTGCTATTTTTTAATTTTTAAATAAATCTTTGGTGAAAATCTCTCTTTAAGGAATGTTATCTTGTCTGTACAAATTTTACTGTAGATGGATACATACATTTCAGCAGTGAAAGGGTTTAGAAGAATTTTGAAAGGTAACATCACAGAGTGAGCTGGGAATCTGTTTTGGGCTAATAAACTAGCGTCGCTTCATCTCCTACTCCTACATGACTGTCCTGCTTTCCATCACACTGACCACTTCACTGGGACAGAATGAACAAGCCTATGGACAGTTAGCGTCGCTTCATCTCCTACTCCTACATGTTACTGACATCTCACTGACCACTTCACTGGGAGAGAATGAACAAGCCTATGGACAGTTAGCGTCACTTCATCTCCTTCTCCTACATGTTACTGACATCTCACTGACCACTTCACTGGGAGAAAATGAACAAGCCTATGGACAGTTAGCGTCGCTTCATCTCCTACTCCTACATGTTACTGACATCTCACTGACCACTTCACTGGGAGAGAATGAACAAGCCTATGGACAGTTAGCGTCACTTCATCTCCTTCTCCTACATGTTACTGACATCTCACTGACCACTTCACTGGGAGAAAATGAACAAGCCTATGGACAGTTAGCGTCGCTTCATCTCCTACTCCT